CGTGTCCCCATCGGAGCTCCGCCGAAGGTCCCAGTGGCACAGTCCGCGTGCGTCCCCGCCATTCATTTCGGCCCACCCCTCACGCGCTTCGTGGCCCCACAGGAGCTCCGCCGAAGGTCCCAGTGGCATAGTCCGCATGCGTCCCCGCCATTCATTTCGCCACGCCCCTCACACGTTTCGTTGCGAGGCTTGATCTGAGGAGCGGCCCGCCCGAGCCTCGCCGCGTCTCGACGGCCTGACTGATTGTTTGGCCTCGCGCCGCGGACGACCCGCGCGCGTCGCTGGGGCCCTCTCGGGGCGACCGGCGCGCGTCGCAGGAACCCTGTGCCGCGTTCTGCCCAGCGCCTCGCTCGCCCGTCGTCGCTCTGCCCAGCGGCAAGAGCCTTGCCCGCTATCAGCCAGCCAGCTAGCTCTCTTTGCTCCGCGCAGCAGACGACCCGCGCGCGTCGCTGGGACCCCTCCGGGGCGACCAGCGCGCGTCGCGGGGGCTCCGTGCTGCGTTATGCCCCGCCCCTCGCTCGCCTGTCGTCGCTCTGCCCAGTGGCAAGAGCCTTGCCCGCTATCAGCCAGTCAGCTAGCTCTCTTTGCTCCGCGCAGCGGACGACCCGCGCGCGTCGCTGGGACCCCTCCGGGGCGACCTGCGCACGTCGCGGGGGCTCCGCGCTGCGCTGCGCCCGCGGCCATGGACTTTTTGAGTGCGCGGGCAAAGAGGGAGTGGGAGAGGGGGCGGGCGGGCGCGATCCTCGCGGGGGGGCGCGCCGACATTGGCGTCGCGGCGCGCGGGCGATGACGTCGGGGAGCCCCGGGGGGGCTCCTTGCGGCGGCCGCGCCCAGCGTCGCGAGTACTCAGAGGCAGTCATTTTCAAACTATTGACATTCATGTACAATGACACCATGCTTTGTCATAGTCGCATTCATGCACGTAGACTCGCTCGCACGCAGATTCATTCGCAGTCAGACGCACTCGCGCTCAGATTCGCCCGCGCTGTCTCCCTACGTACTCAGATCAATCGTTTTCGTTCGCGCTGTGTACCACTCGTTGCCTCATTGGGGTCGCCACCGAAAAAGTGAATCACAATGGCGGGCTGGGTCCTTTGGGTCCTTCGTCAGGCTAATTTTCAGTCCTTTCTGCCGTCAGCATCTAAGAGAAAAGGAGTCCCTCGGCGGTCGCTGCCCGTCGAACTTTGGGGGTTGGGTGTCGGTGAGCCTTCCGAGGAGGACACTCGTCGCCGCGCTGGGCTCGGCTCGAAACTTCCTCCGATCTGGGGCGAGAACATTAGACGCTGGCTGCGCCGTGTTTTTTCTTGGTCCGCCAGACGGGTCTTCTCCCATGCTCATGGCCCTGCAGTCAGGGTTTCGCTTTGCAGATGTGTGCGCTTCCTGGCCCAGCGGGCCGTCGTGTTATGCGTGGCCTGGACCCCTTGGGGAAATCCTCTTTGAAACGCACGATGAAACGCGGCCCTCCATGCGCCCGCTCGGAGATGGGCCACGGCTTCTTGCGGGTGCGTAGGTGGGGGCGCGATTGCCACGAACCTTTGCACTTCCTGGCGTTTAATACGGCTGGCCTGTATTGGACCGACTCTTTAAAGGATTTGAGTAACGCGTTTGCTTCTCCGGACGGCTGTGGACGCAGCTGTTCTTGACATGGCCCGCGGATCGGAGGTCCGTTTCTGCCAGCAACGATGCAGGCTGGCCTGCGCGATGATCCCAGCTGAGGAGGGCGACCTTCTTTTGTGCGCGGGCTGCGGCATGCTCCGAGGCGACCCCCTTGCCGTCGCGTCATTCGTTCACGTCTTTCGTCCGTCGGTCGACCGCTAGATCGCGAGGTGTCGTCAGGAAGACCCCTTGGAGCAGCAGCTGTCAGCGGAGTGCGGCGTTCTTGCCCCAGCTACTGTGCACTTAGGCCTGGCGAAATTTGCGGGTGATCTCTTAGAGGAACTTCAGCTGGGGCGCCGCTTCTCGCTTGGCATGGCCAGTAGCACTTGAAAACGCAGCGGTTGTTGGCTAGATGAGGAGCTTCCGCAGATTGGACACGCGCGAAATCCGAGGGGCAGTTTTTTAAATGTATATATATATATATATATACATAGTCTGCCCCGCTCTCGGCCAGGCGAAAAGTCGCACGCCTTTTGAGGAGCGAGCAGTGCAGTTGGCGAATCAGTCAGATATCTCGGTCCTCGTCTTGCCTTCGCGCAATCCTTCCAGGCCAAGCTTGGAAAGCGGGTGCAGGCTGTGAAGACGGCGTATTTCCGCATGGGGCGTTTTTTGGCAGGCGCCCAACATTCCCTATCGCTGGGAGAGGTGTGTGCTCCTCTGTCATGTTGTAAATTCTGCTCTGTCTGCCGTTCAATGTTTTTTTGGCCCAGCGAGAGCCAGCTGCGCAAGTTAGAACTCGCAGTTGCAGGCTTGTGTAGACGTGCCATGAGAGGAAAGGCTAGCTGGGAAGATGCGCGCCATGATCGCTATTTGTCTTCCCAGCAGTTGCTCGGTTATTGGATGATCATTTCTCTCGGGGTCGAACTTAGAGTGCGCAGGCTTAAGTGGTTTCCATGCATTTGTGCGTATCCATAACCCCATCAGCAGCTCATTGGAGCTTGGTTTGATAAGTTTTTTGGGCGAGGACGTTTTTGGCGAGTTTTGTTCGATTCGCCCCGGTGCGAGTCCGTGGGCTTTGAGAGTCCAGGCGGACATTGAGCAGCTTGTGCTAGTGTCCGAGGAAGCCTCGGATCCTTGGCAAGAAGTCAGAGGCCGAGTAAAGCAACGTGTTCCAACATGAGTTTGCCTCTCGATTCAAACGCATTTATGTTGCCATCCTTCGCAGTGCTGCGCTTAGCGTGAACATTCCGAGTGTGCCTCCTGAGGGACTTCCAGAGGCCGCGGAATCCAGCGCCTTCTTAACTGAACGATTTTGTGCGTGCCCTTGGGAGGACCCATCTGGCCCGTGTGATGTCACTTTTAGTTGTAGACCAGGCCTTCCGAGCCATATCCGCATTGTGCATAACAGCGTCAAGCTCTCGCATGCCATACTTATCACGAACCAATGTTCGATGTGTGAGGAGGTATTCGGCGGAAGGCTCACCGCGTGCAAACATGTAGAATGGGGCCCTTCAGCATGGGCGATGTCCACGAAACAAAACATCAACCCTCGCGGAGCTCCAAGTCCCAGAGAGTATTCAGCGCAGACTTTGTGGTTCAACGCTCCAGCGGCTCCCCGACTACAACGTTCACACGAAGTCCCATCTTCCTCATGTCTTCGGTGGTGCTGGATGTCAGCGTGTTCGGAGAGGACGAGCTCCCACCGTGGGCGGGCGTCGCGGTCGCGCCTGGGCGCCCCGCCGAGATGGGCGCCGCGGGTCAGGGGTCCCAGCCGAAGCAGGCGAAAGGTGGCGGCGAGGGCGGCGGCGACGTCGACGAGACCCTGTTGCAGAAGGTCGCGGCTCTTTCGTTGGCCACGGCTTGCGAGCAGGCCATCCTCTCGTCTGTCGTGCTGTCGATCTTCCTCGCGCCGAGCGAATCGCACCTGGCGAAGGCGGGGCTGGCGGCAAACAATTTCTCCTCAGAGACGGTCGAGGCACTTCACGACCGCAAAGAAAAGGGGGAGGAGGTCGACTTGTCTGCACCTGGCCCACCGTTCGTCATTGCGTTCTTTCCCACCGCGCGCGCGATGATGACCCAGGGCTCGGATCAGGTGAAGGAGGCAGCGACCGTCTTCTTTCAGACGCACCCGAAGGACAAGACGCCCCAGTATATGGCCTCGCTGGCGCGCCAGTTCACGGCGAGGTCTCCGCGGGGTCCAGGCAGCAAGAGGACGCGGGGCAATGTGAAGCTGACGCTCGCCATCGGACCGAGCCAAGGGCACAGGTCGTGAACGCGCTGATGGACGTGGTGCTCGCGGACTGCAGGGCGGTCCAGCTTGCGGGGGCAGCGCCGCGCGGGCCCCTGGAGCGCCAGGTGGCAGCGGCGCTGGAGCGCCAGTGATCCCTGAGGCATTCGCCACGAGCAAACGTTTCCGAGAGCTCGTCGCGCGAGGAGCACTTGCCAGGCCTGGCCGTAATTTTCAGAGGCGCTTGATAATGAGGAGGGGGATGTGGGTAGGACTGGTCGTCGTCGTTATGGGCGGGGGAAGGGGGGATCCAAGCCTTGAACTGCTGCTCGTGCCAGCGGGGCCGACGCGTGGACTTCCACGCCGTGTCGCTCCCCGCGGTCTAGCGGCTATGTGGCCGCCGCAGGGCCACTTTTGCGAGTCGAGAGAGATGGCATTTACGCCGCATAAGACCTGGCCTTTTTTGTAATCTGGGAGGTCTTGCCTCCCCTCCATATCGTGGAAGCGTCCCGTTCGCTTCCGTTCGCTTTAGTAACGCGGCTTGACGCGCATCAGCAAAGACGGGTGAACTGGTCCCTGATGCTTTCGAATCGAAACGAATCCTCCTCCTCCTCCTCCTTCTCCTCCTCCTCCTCCTCTTCCTCCTCCTCCTCCCCCTCCCCCTCCCCCTCCCCCTCGTCCTCCTCAACCTCCTCGCCCTCGCTGTCCTCTTGCCCCCCCCCCCGCCGTAAACCCAACAACGTCCTGCATGGGCCCGGGGCGGGACCTGGGGGTCTGGGGAGGTGCCCAGGGACCTCCAGAGGATTCCAGCCGGCCCAGGAAGTTCGAAGCGACGCAGCACCTCAATCCTTGGCTCTCGATCCCCGAGCGTCGTGTCCAGTTTGCAGAGCCCTGTGCGCTTCGAGGTGCGTCGGATCGGCCGGGCAGGCCAGGATCGGATGGATGCTGTTTCGGCGGCGCCCCCACATTCTAATACCAGGTGTGCGTCGCCCCCCCCCTCCCCCCCCAGGGGTGGCGCGCGCACCGATAAATCTTATGGTGTATTCTTTCTGGCCACACCGCTCGGGTAACGATATCCTACAATATGGGTGTACTATATGTTCGGGTCGGGCGCGCGCCTCCAAGGAGGACATACAGTACTAGCATGTCTCTGTGCGCCCCATTGCTCCCAGCTGAG